TAAGTTGAAATGTAAAAGAGTAAGAAGTGCCAATGCCAGTTCATGCAAAAACATGTATTGAAATGAAATGAATAAATGTTTCAGCCTGTCATCAGGTCTTCTTCGGTGTCAATAATAATATTTAAATAAATGCAATTTTTTCAAAATACATAAACGCACGCAATTTTACAGCATATAATATTAACAGATTGTTAGATAGGCTGCACGAAAACGGTAATAAACGAAATCAAACATTTTGCATACCGAAGAAGGCCTAATGACAGACTGAAACATTTGTTTATTTCATTTCAATACATGTTTTTGCACAAACAATTAACATTAACTCTTTTTGCTTCTTTAGATTTCAATTTTTATATTTAACTATTGAAGCCTTTATAATATCCATCTTATTATTATAAGAATACAGTAATACGTTACCTTATTTTGGATGCATCATCATTAGGTGACAGCAAATCAAATAATTCTTCATTATACAATTCGAGAAAACTCACTCGTATTGTATATTCTTGTGATTCCAACAAACGTAACTCATCAAATAAATGACTTAATGCACGTGGTATAATTCCAGCTGTTGTATCCTATATGTATATATAAAGTTAAACAAGCACATATATCTAATGTTGCAAATATATATATATATATATATGACACATTGTGTAATAAGTTCTTAAATATACTTCTTTAAATATACTCTAATAAAATTTTTTTATTTTATACATTTGTATTTTAAATGCATTTTAAAATGATTGTAATTATAAAATAATATAGTAACGTCTTTATTATAAATTATAAAACATGTACTATCATTTGCATTTTTCAATCTTATTCATAACTTGATATTCAAGACTGCTCTTAATTGTTTTTCTTGTACAAATAAATATTAAAACTGTCATGCTAAAACTATATATATTACTAAGCCATATATATTTTCTTATGTATGTTATATTTACTATGACAACAAATATTATTTTATAGAATGTAACTCACACTTTGCCAATGCATTTTTGGGTCATTGCTAAAACCTTCCATGGTGAATGTTTTCCCAGTTCCAGTTTGTCCATAAGCAAAAACTGTACAATTATATCCAGCCAATACTTCCTCAAGTAATGGGCTAACAACTGCATTATATACATCTATCTATAAAATATAAATAAATTATTTTTTTCTAAATGATATATTAAGTGTTGTAATTTTAATCTTTTATTTAAAAAATGTTAATCTCTACCTGCTTTGAAGAAGGTCCAAATACTTTATCAAATGTAAATTTTTTCGTATGATTGCCTTGTATTTTTTCATGTACTATTACTTCTTTATTAGATGGTAATTCCAATACTGAGCTTGATTTTCCAATTTTCTCAAAGTTATTTATTGGCCTATTAAAAAAGAAATTGTTGAAAAAGAAACAAAATACTATAAAGAAAATCATAAGTTATTAAAATTATTGAAATAGAGATTAATATTATATAATATATATATATATATAATTTGTGTTTATACATAACTAGTTATTCATATAATTTTTATTTATATACAATAAAAAAATTAAGCTTTATATATAAAAGAAATAAAAGATTAGATAAGAAGATTTAATATATTTCTCAAAATGCGTTAAAATTCAATATCTTTTTTTAAAAAAGTAAAATAACATCTCAAATAATTATTGTCGCTTACCTGACACGCACAAAAACTTGTATATGCTGATTTTTATCCTTCTTTAAATTGCGCATATCACTCATTTTGGATGATTTCTTGTAATTCACTAATTTTTATTATAACACAGCTAGACACAGTTACAATATATGATTTTACTTTTATAAACGACAGCGCGTTCTATCTCGTATTCATTTACTGTTTATAAACGTTACACGACTGAAGTTAGGTCACAGTATCCGTTGAAGAATTTAAATCGAGATGTTTCGCGTGATCGCCACTAGATGATGAAAATACGTCATTTCAATCAGCCAATCGGAATAGAAGATAGTGCTGCTGTATATTCATGTAAACCATGCATAAATTTTAAATCTGTTTATTTTATGGCGTTTTCAACTGGGATGCATCATTGAGCTTTATAATATACTGGAACGAGTTTTGGTCATTATATTACTAAAAACTACTGCAACGGTTGGTTATTTTTAGTCACGTGAGGTCTTCTAACGCTGAAATTGAACGTCGAGCAACAGCGTGAAAAGGCACCTTTATAGAATTCAATGCGATGCATCAGCATTATGGCAGTGTCTAGTAACTTTTAACTAGTGGCTAGTCACTATACGTCAAACGTAGTGGTTGGTCACATGACGCTGCTACATTAGAGGAAAGAGGAGAGCAAACCAATCGAACACAGAAAACTGAAAAAGAACGCACCATTCGAAAACGCTATTTGATTTGCATTTTACTTTTTTATTCTTATACATAATATCTTAAAGCTATTTTCTTCTTAGATACATCAGTAAATGCAATTTTATTTAAGTACAAAATAATTATAAATTAAATATATGTGTTTGATAATATGCTAACTCAGCAATGCTTTCTTTTATATCATCTAAAGCTCTGTGTTTTAATGCCTTTCGTGGTGTAGATCTATATACACTTCGATTCCATCTTCTGAAAATAGTAAAAATTTACTTGTATAACCATTACTTTATTATAATCTTAAATATTTATTGCACAATAAATTGCTACTAATTTTGTTTATATTTTGCAAAAACGTAACATTAGCATTACTGTTTATTTCTAAGGAAGAAAAAATTGATTATACCTGGTAAGTTCCTTGATTGTACTAACATCGATAATTCTGTAGTGTAGGTAATTATTAATTAATGGCATATATTTATACAAGAACAAACGATCCATATAAACTGAATTTCCTGCCAATGGACATACACCTTTAGGAATATACTTTTCTAAAAATTTGAGTACTAATTTTTCAGCATCTTCCAATGATAATGTACTTAAGCGAGATTCATTGGTTAATCCAGTCTAAAATTGTGTATATATAGATATATATAATTATAACTGATATATCAATTCATAAATGAAAAAAATATCTAGAAAATATTTATATCAATCACATAAAGTAAAATTGA